GTATTTTACCGATGTAGGATTATATTCCCTTAACGTGCCCCCGCAAGATGGTGGCTCGTTTGAGCAGACCAATCTTGAAATCCATGTGCTCATTTTTAGAGATTTAATCGGATCGAATCTCTCGTTGGAACTTAATGGGCTCTGACACTATGTAAAGATTTGGGATCCATCTTAATAAGGTACCTTATTAAGAGAAGTGTCCAAATTCTTTATATATTGGTCATTATTTCGGTATTTTACCGATGTGGGATTATATTCCCTTAACACATGCAAGCATGAGTCTAACCAGCTTGTAAGTCCATTCTCTCTTTCATAGATATTCTCCAATTTATCGGCGATAACTTTTCCCTTAAGTTAGTCCAAGGAATTCAGCATCATTAACGGCTTGATGATGCTTCATTTTATTTGCATAGTTAGTAAATGCATTCTTATCTTCTTCTTTTTTCTTTTTTTTTTAATTGTTGGTTTTATTTTATGGCATTGAATGTTATACCTAGTATTATTAGTTTATTCTAATCTATCAAGCATCATCTAGGATGATAGGATGTTTTTATGTTGTGTCACATGAGCTTGAGAACCATTATGCAATTAAACTGATATACTTGTATAAACAATAAAATATGAATAAAAAATGAAACTGATATAAATATATAATTAGAAGCAGCTGAATTAATAATCCAACTATAGGATAGACAAATAAGAGATTACATGCCAAATAGACTGGCGATCCACCAAATTCCTTTGTCTAGAAGTGAATGATTTTCATCGGACATGATAAAGAAACAGATAAAAACTGAATTTGAGGCTGGAATATGATATCGTTTACAACTCTGATAAAAATGGCTAGCAAGAAAATGAGAAAAAGAATATGTTTTGTGAACTACGTCTATATTTTACTCAACTGCCTTGTATTTGTAGACAGATTTACAAGATTAGGATATACATAAAGATAATAAAAAAAAAAAAAACTGACAACTCTCTCTAACCAAAAAAATTAGATTAAAATTTATAAGATTTAGATATATACAAAGATAGGAAATTGATAACTCCGTTATGTTAACTGAAAAACTAAAATATACGATATTATTTTTGTCCAAACTATACCAAAAGGTTGAGGGCAGATTTATTACATTTTACAAAGGTAAAAAGTACCCTTTTTTTCTTTTTTCTTTTTTTTTTTTTTTTTTTTATAATATGCTTCTTTAATCATTCATATATGTTTTTGCATTTGAGTTTAAAGGTGATTCACCCTATTTACCCTAAATTCATGGCCATTTTGAACAAAAACTGTAATTACGAATTATTGGAGTTTGCATAAGAAAAGTTTGATACAACGTCAAAACGCAGAAGTACAAAATAGTATATGATTAAGGACAACAATTGCATCTTTTTTCTAAAGGAAAATGTTCAGATGTATCATTGTTCATCAAGTAAAGAAAAGTTCAATTTTTAAGGTGTACACCCAAAACTTCGTGTTGCAATTACTTTGTTCTCTTTAACTTTTTAAAGTCGGTTATCTACATCTTCTCGTGTATAAAAATGGCATGTTTCCTTATATTTATAGCTTGTACATTTGTGGATAAGTGGTTAAGATTTATTATAGTTAAAGGTCAAAAGAAGTCATACACAACATTTTACACTTGTTCTTTATATATATATATATATATATATATATATAGGAGAGAAAAATTTAATTTATTTTAATTTAATTTAATTTGATAAGATATAATGGGGGCCAAATGGGTGCTACATTGAAGCACAAGTCTAGTGATCTTTGAAATCATTTTTATTGTAAATTATTTACAATTCAAACTGAATTTTTGTTCTTTGTTCATTTTCAATGAAACTTGAGTTTTACTCCACTAAAGCAGTATTTTTCAAATTTCAACATCTTTTAATTTTAGTTGAACTTGACCTAATAATATACACATACCAAACATTTAAAAGTACAACATAGTTGGGATTCCAATAGAGAATTCTAGACTCAAACCGTGTTCTATTCTTTAATTGAGTCAAGAAAAAGCACCATTATAAATAGGAAGATGCTACATGTTTTAATATTTTTGTACAAACTTTTTTACTTACACATAATGGGAAGATGGAGTTTACATGTCGGAATTATTTAATTCATGTGGGGACTTCATGCATGTGAGAGAAAGCAGAAGTTTTTGTCAACTAAAATTTGTACAAATATCTTAATCCTTATAAATAATACTTTTGAAATGTGTTGATATCAAGTATGAAGAGCTCATACTCCTCTGAATTAGGTAATGACTGGTTAACTTTACAATTATCACTATTAAGCTACCTACTTTTAGGTACGCAACATAGAATTATGGATGCATCAAAAGTACAGTTTATGAACCTAAATCAAAAGAAATGCAAGTATTCTACATATAATAAATTCCCATCGTCTTTTTTTATTTTTATACATTTCTAACTTGATTCTTTATAAGGTTAGCACATTACAGAACTCTTACAGAATTCTCACAAAAGAGTGAGATCGAAATTTTTTTTCTTCGGAAGGGGGGGTGGGGGGGGGTGGGGGGGATTTTTTTGCCCTGAGCTAATATAAAGAAAAGAAAAATCCATATAAAAAGTCACATTTATCATCATTTCGACATTATGTCAAAAAGTAACCTACAAGGCTAAAACCAGTCGACCGAACTCTACAGCCCAATATTTAAGTGCCACGTGTAGAACACTTTAGAAAGCCACCACACCTGCCAGTCACTGACTTGGTAATACCTTACGTGGCAGCTTTCTACTGGCCGGTATAGATAAAGTTGCATTAGAAGGGCTAAGCAAGCAAAGAGTTAGAGAGAGAGAGAGGACGACGCCCAGGCCTTTTATATGCACATCTGTAGCGTCGCTGCCATTTTCAAGAGTGAAGAAAGAGCACTTAAAAATCAGAACTTTTTTTTTTTGTGTGGATTAGCATTTTTCATCTCATTTTCTTTGATTTCCCCCTTTTTCTTAACACCCCTTTTCTTGGATCCCATTCTGTAATTATCTCTCTTTCAAATTTTGATCAATTTTTTCAGGGTTCGTTCTTGTTGAAAAAAAATCACATCACAAACGAAGAAACTAATTTTAGAAAGACCGGCGTGTTCTTGAAAGCCAGGTGGTTCAGAATAGAGATCAGTATAAGCTTAATTTCTCTGTTCTTTTGTTATTACAGTAAAAAGGTATTTGTTTGATCAAAATAGCTAAAAGGGTTTTCTTTTCTATCCCTTTTGGGTTGATTTAGGTTTCTTGAATTAATTTATATTAATAGATTCAAAGGTGTCAAAAGGGGTGTTTATTTGAAGCCTCTTTGATTCTTTGATTGTGCAGGAAGCTTGTTGTTTTTCCGATCTGTTTCATTTTTCTTGTATAAATTTGAGAAAATATCATGGCAGCAGCTACAGATACATTCAATTCTAGTGGCAGTCGTATTTTCTCATCAGATCTGTTAAATGAGGAGTTCATTCAAGTACTTGATCCTTTTATGAAAAGTGCTTCACCAAATCCCTCAAGTTCTTCTACTTGTTCTTCTAATTTTTACCCTTTTGGATCTTCTTGTTCTTCAATCTGTTCTGAATCCAATTTGAATCCTGATTTTGGCCAAATCCCGTTGAAACCCCAGATGTTTTCTCCGGTTTTTTCGAGTTTTAACCAAATGGATGATCTTAATCACCTCACACCATCACAGTTTATGCAATTCCAGGCTCAATTCCAATTCAAACAGCAGCAATTGATGCCTCAGGGAAACTCATTTACGCGGTTTCTTAGCCCAAAACCTGTCCCAATGAAGAAAGCTGTGATTCCCGTGAAGGCTGCGAAGCTTTACCGGGGAGTAAGACAGAGGCACTGGGGCAAATGGGTAGCTGAAATTAGACTTCCAAGGAATAGAACCAGGCTTTGGCTTGGAACTTTTGACACGTCTGAACAGGCGGCCTTGGCTTATGATAAGGCTGCATATAAACTGAGAGGAGAGTTTGCAAGACTCAATTTTCCTAATCTTAGGCATCAATTATGCGGGTTCAAGTCGCTGCAGTCTTCCATTGACGCAAAACTACAAGCCATATGTGAAAATTTGGCCAATTCACCGAAACAGGGGAAGAGTTCAGGGAAGGCCCGTTCTGTTTCGAATCGAAAGAGTAAAGTTTTAAACCAAACAGGCGACGAGAAGACCAAAAATGTTATGAACGATTCATTGAATGGAGGATTTGGTGTTGACCGTATCCCGGTTGAGGCCTCCTCATCATTGTCGTCCCCATTGGATGAAGGGTCGGCATCACCTGAATCCGATATCACCTTTCTGGATTTCTTGGAGCCATCATCCAATGAATTCGATAACTTTGTGTTGCAGCAGCACCCTTCAGTGGAGATAGACTGGGCAGCCTTATAACATAGTACTTATGTTTTCGTTATTTTCTTTAGTTTGCTTGGTTTTTGTGTGAAATTTGGTTTTAGTTTGGTGTTTTAGTTTGGTGTCAATTGAGGCCTTTGCGATGGAGTTTTTGACATTTGCTAAGGCCCTTAAGGGTGTGGAATAGTTTATGTTGTTATGGATAGTCTAAAATCTCTTCATCTTGATCAGCTGGTGCTTTTTATTTCTAGCCTGATGATGAGAGACATTGTGCATTTCTTGAATGTAATTACAGTCTATGAATGTATTTCAGTTTCTCTGTGAATAATAAATCATGGTGTGTTTCGTTGTAGCTCCGAATTTTTAGTGTTCTTGCAGCAAATCTCAGTGTTACCTATTTACGAAAATTCTGCACGTTAGGTTTTTCATGAAAAAATGAATCTGGTCTTCGCCCAAGCATAGAGATGCAGTTCAATGAGTTTGGTAAAATGATAAATCCAAGCTCTGAAATTAGAACTATGAATCCTTGAGTTTGATCGATTCTGGCGAGTAGAATTTATTGTTCTCCTCTATGCTGTTTTGTGATTATGATAATTTGTTGTGTTCTCTCCCTGGTTAGACCATTGAGTCCAGCAAATTTAAATTAAGAGCCTTTCCTTATAACAGTTGATGAGTTAAAGAAATTGGCCCTTTTTGTATCATCATATAAACTTGTATTTGACGGTTAATGCAATGAGAAAAGGAAAGAAAATATACCATGGAAACTATTTGATTTAAGTGAGGCCAGTAGATCTTTTATATATATATATATATATACTGAACAAAAACTTATTTATACGAAATGATACTTTGAACTTGGAAGGTGGAATGAGCACCAAAAAATTAATGATAATTTTTTATCATTTTTGGTACTGTTGGATAAGCCGTTTAGACCTTTGGTCCCTAACGAGACCCAATGAAAAATGGGACCACTTCTTATGAAAAGATTATAGACAGTAAAATAATGTTAAGAGTCCAGTGCTTCTTAGGCCCTAATGTGAATTGAAAATATACCATAAAAAGTTGGAAGCTCCAGTTAAACACGAGATAACCAATTTGATTTAAGTAATGCTACAACTCAAAGTCCCTAACCATAACCAAGTTCGCGTCTCTAGTTCAGTCCACAAGCTCGAACAAACATGGCTACCAAGCATAGGCTATCCGAAGTCAGCAACATACCTCGACTATTATTAATAAAGGTTGAACTAGAGATTTCAATGCTCGAAGAATCACAATAACCCATACAACAAGACACCCAAGGTCGAATTAGAGAATTCAGTCAATTATAGATGGTTGTTTGTGCATTCTACAAATATATTCTTCAAATAAGTATGATTACATGAGAACCCAAACACACTACTCAAGAGGTGTAACGTTTCAAGTTTCCCATGAGCCAAGAAAATGCCAAAACTGCCCAATGGGACATTTGCCCCTAAAGAAAAGATTAAAACTATTGTTTTGAAATGATATCATAAATGCTTTCTGCTATTTTGTTTCATTTGGACTGTCAATGTTTCTCTGATGTAAATCAAATGTATCAGGTCATAATTTGATCGATGTGGCTCTAGGTTTATTATTTAATTTATTGAAATGGTTCAAATGACTCCATTCAAGTAATACAAAAGGGATTATTCTGTTGACTATAAATTATAAACAAGCAAATTTATTTCTCTATTAATAAATTTAAATTCAAAGTGAATTAGAGTGCGGGTAAACATTATATATTTGAGTCTTATAACTACTCATTTATGAAAGATCTAGGTGAGACCTTTGGTGAAAAAAGTCAGTAAGCACATAAGGAGTGAGTTGAACATAAAATATAAACAAATTCTTTACAATTGCATTATTATCACCGGCTAATTTGTTCAATTTTGTAAGGGACATATTTCTTGTTAGTATTGTGATGGCAAATCAAATAAGCAAATGTGAACGACAATAAGTTAAGAGTTATTTCAGAATGATGTAACTTTTTTTTACATTAAAATAAGAAGAATAATTCCATAGGTATAAGGAATTATTGGCTGAAATGATACAGGTGCTGCATTGACAACATCTCTATGGTACATTTTTCTGTGTTTGTTGAGTCAAAAATCAAACAGTAAATTAATGATAGAGTACATTGCTTATTAAGCCCTAATGCAAACTGAAAATATACCATAGAAAGTTGGAAGCCCTAGTTAAACGTCAGATAAACAATTTGATTTATGTAATGCTACAACTCAAAGTCCAACACCATAACCAAGTTTGCATCTCTAGTTCTGTCCACAAGCTCGAACAAACATGGCTACAAAGCATAGGCTATCCCAAGTCAGCAACATACCTCGACTATTATTAATAAAGGTTGAACTAGAGATTTCAATGCTCGAAGAATCACAATAACCCATACAACAAGACACACAAGGTCGAATTAGAGAGTTTGCTCAACTATATATGGTTGTTTGTGCATTTTACAAATATATTCTCTAAATAAGTATGATTACATGAGAACACAAACACACTACACAAGAGGTGTAACTTTTCAAGTTTCCCAAGAGCCAAGAAAATGCATATTTGTCCCTAAAGAAAATATTAAAACTATTGTTTTGAAATGATATCATAAATGTTTTCTGCTAATTTTTTTTTTTTTTTTTCATTTGGATTGTCAATCTTTCTCTGATATCAATCTAATGTATCAGGTCATAATTTGATTAATGTGGCTCGAGGTTTATTATTTAATTTATCAAAATGGTTCAAATGACTTCATTCAAGTAATACAAAACGGATTATTCTGTTCCCTATAAATTATAAACAAGAAAAAATTATCTCTATTTATAAATTTAAATTCAAAGTTAATTAGAGCGTAAGTAAACATTCTATATTTGAGTCTTATAACTACTCATTTATGAAAGATCTAGGTGAAACCTTTGTGAAAAAAGTGAGTATGTACATAAGGAGTGAGTTGAACATAAAATATAAACAAATTCTTTACAATTGCATTATTGTCCCTCGCTATTTTGTTCAATTTCATAAGGGACATATTATTTGTAAGTATTATGAATAATCTGAGGGCACACACGGCTAATTAAATATGAAAATGAGAATGACAATAAGGTAAGAGTTACTTTAGAACGACGTAACTTTTCTTTACATAAAAATAAGAAGAATAATTCCATAGCTATAAGGAATTATTGACTGAAATGATATAGGTGTTGCATTGACAACATTTGTATGGTACATTTTCTATGTTTGTTGTGTCAAAAATCAATGAAAAATTGCCAAGTGTTTTTCTATAAAAATTTTATTAAACTTTTTTTGTACTTGTACCAAAATTGAAACAAGAAATTAAAAGTATTTTTATGGATGTAACTTTACTTTCTTTCTCCTTTTTTTTAGGGTTATCTCTTGAATGTTGGAATATCGAGGCTAGTATCCCGCCCCAAAATTCTAACTAATTCAATATTCTTAATCTTTCTTCTCAGCAAGCAAAGACAATTCACATGACTGCCAAAATATGAGAGAGAGAGTAGGTGAAAAAGTCTTTTGGGCCACGACGAATACTTCAAGTTTGAGCAAGACTTTACCTTCTCTATGCCACTTATTAGATTCTGTATAATGTACAAAAACAATATTTTCCTTTTACCTTGAGTAGTGGACCTTCTTTGTATAGCAAGAAAAGTGTACAATTTGAGGCTAAATGGGTGTGAATGAAATCATGAACGAAAATTAAGCATCTTAATGGCTTGTTTTCTAATATACACTATACGACACAAGACAGTGTTAGAAAAAATAGAAGAAATTAAACTCTGATTCGTTACTCACTCAAGTAATGTTCATGCATAAACATACACAAGACTTATGTTGGGCAATTTCACTTATTGTAAGAATAAATTTATCAATCAAAGCAATTAATTATGGTGATTAAATATGCAAGTAGATTATCAAAGCAAAACAAGAGAACACACACAACACCAAATTTTGTGTAAAAAAACCCTCCAGTATAAAGGGAAAAACCCACAGGGCAACTATGGCCAAATCCACTATATTAAATATAGATTACAATATTCAAGTTTATGCTCCAAAACTTGAATTCCCAACAAATTGAGAATACCACCTTATCAATCTCTAAGACACCAAATAATCTCACCACAAATCAACAATTTGATGAAACTTGTGAAATACTTATTTTGAATACTACACCTCTAGAGTGCCCAAAATACACCTTAGAGGAATTTCCAATTTGTTCTTAAATAGAAAATCAACCTGTGTAAAATCCACATCTCAAGAAAGAAAGAAAACCAACACTTGCTTCTTCTCTAACCAAAGTCAAAACCAAAGTATTTTCCCTCTTAAAATTGAAATTGAGCAACCCTTGTTTTCTGTGTTCTTTTTCTAGCAATTTGAAAACCTCAGTTTCTGTATTTTTCTCCACGTGATAGCCACGGTTTGATGATCATATATATACCAATGTGTGACCTAAATGATATGTGTGTGTGTGTGTGTGTTGGATTGGCTTTTTTACCTTTAATTCCTCATGGGCTGAACAAGCCCATATAACAATCTCTCATTCTAGCCTACTGAGTAAAGAGATTATCATCTAACACATTAGTTAGAATCTACACTAACCAGTGTGGCACAAAACTTAAGCTTTTCTCTAATCACAACCTTTGTCATCATGTCAATTGGATTTTTCTCTGTATGAGTCTTTTCCAACAATATCAATTGTTTTGCCACTACTTGTCATAGCCAATGATATCTCACATCAATATCCTTCGTTCGAAAATGATAAGTAGCATTCTTGCTCAAGTCTAATGCACTCTAACTGTCACAATTAACTACATACACATCTTGCTTCAAACTCAAATCTTGGAGAAATTGTTTCATCCAAAACATTTCTTTCCTACTTCAATTACTGTAATATACTCAGTCGTAGTTATAAATAAGGCAACACACTTTTGTAATTTTGACTGCCATGAGACAGCTTCCCCTGCAAAAGTGATCAAATATCCTGAAGTTGATTTTCTACTATCAAGATCACTAGCCATATCTGCATCTATAAAACCCTCCAAAATTGGTTTTGAACCTTCAAAAGATAAGCACATCTTGAAGTACCTCTCAAGTATCTAAAGATCTATTTCACTAGCTCGATCTTTACCGGAATTAACAAGATATAGTTGACTACCCCGACTACATGAGCAATGTCTGGCCGTTACAAATCATGGCATACATCAAACTCCCAACCGCAAAGGAGTAAGGAATCTATGCCTTGTTTATTTTTCTTCTTAGAAGAACAAGTCACCTTACTTAGTTTGAAATGACTACCAAGTGGTGTCCCAACTGATTTAGCATTTTCATCTTATCTCGTTGGAACTTAATGGGCTCTGACACTATGTAAAGATTTGGGATCCATCTTAATAAGGTACCTTATTAAGAGGAGTGTCCAAATTCTTTATATATTGGTCATTATTTCGGTATTTTACCGATGTGGGATTATATTCCCTTAACACATGCAAGCATGAGTCTAACCAGCTTGTAAGTCCATTCTCTCTTTCATAGATATTCTCCAATTTATCGGCGATAACTTTTCCCTTAAGTTAGTCCAAGGAATTCAGCATCATTAACGGCTTGATGATGCTTCATTTTATTTGCATAGTTAGTAAATGCATTCTTATCTTCTTCTTTTTTCTTTTTTTTTTAATTGTTGGTTTTATTTTATGGCATTGAATGTTATACCTAGTATTATTAGTTTATTCTAATCTATCAAGCATCATCTAGGATGATAGGATGTTTTTATGTTGTGTCACATGAGCTTGAGAACCATTATGCAATTAAACTGATATACTTGTATAAACAATAAAATATGAATAAAAAATGAAACTGATATAAATATATAATTAGAAGCAGCTGAATTAATAATCCAACTATAGGATAGACAAATAAGAGATTACATGCCAAATAGACTGACGATCCATCAAATTCCTTTGTCTAGAAGTGAATGATTTTCATCGGACATGATAAAGAAACAGATAAAAACTGAATTTGAGGCTGGAATATGATATCGTTTACAACTCTGATAAAAATGGTTAGCAAGAAAATGAGAAAAAGAATATGTTTTGTGAACTACGTCTATATTTTACTCAACTGCCTTGTATTTGTAGACAGATTTACAAGATTAGGATATACATAAAAAAAAAAAAAAAAAAAAAAAAAAAACAAAAACTTTTTTTAACCAAAAAAATTAAATTAAAATTTAAAAAATTTAATTTTACTTTTTAAAAGGAAAAAAATCCCCTTTTTTTTTTTTTTTTTTTTTTTTTTTTTTTTATAATATGCTTCTTTAATCATTCATATATGTTTTTGCATTTGAGTTTAAAGGTGATTCACCCTATTTACCCTAAATTCATGGCCATTTTGAACAAAAACTGTAATTACGAATTATTGGAGTTTGCATAAGAAAAGTTTGATACAACGTCAAAACGCAGAAGTACAAAATAGTATATGATTAAGGACAACAATTGCATCTTTTTTCTAAAGGAAAATGTTCAGATGTATCACTGTTCATCAAGTAAAGAAAAGTTCAATTTTTAAGGTGTACACCCACACCCAAAACTTCGTGTTGCAATTACTTTGTTCTCTTTAACTTTTGAAGTCGGTTATCTACATCTTCTCGTGTATAAAAATGACATGTTTCCTTATATTTATAACTTGTACATTTGTGGATAAGTGGTTAAGATATATATGAGAAAGAAAAACTAATTTAATTTAATAAGATATAATGGGGGCCAAATGGGTGCTAAATCGAAGCACAAGTCTAGTGATCTTTGAAATCTTTTTTATTGTAAATTATTTACAATTCAAACTGACTTTTTGTTCTTTGTTTATTTTCAATGAAACTTGAGTTTTACTCCACTAAAGCAGTATTTTTCAAATTTCAACATCTTTAAATTTTAGTTGAACTTGACCTAATAATATACACATACCAAACATTTAAAAGTACAACATATTTGGGATTCCAATAGAGAATTCTAGACTCAAACCGTGTCCCATTCTTTTAGAAACGTGATAGGAATATGGTTAATTGAGTCAAGAAAAAGCACTATTATAAATAGGAAGATGCTACATGTTCTAACATTTTTGTACAAACTCTTTTACTTACACTTATAATGGGAAGATGGGGTCTAGATGTCGAAATTATTTAATCCATGTGAGGACTTCATGCATGTGAGAGTGAGTAGAAGTTTTTGTCACAAATATCTTAATCCTTATAAATAATACTTTTGAAATGTGTTGCTATCAAGTATGAAGAGCTCATACTCCTCCGAATTAGGTAATGATTGGTTAACCTTACAATCATCACTATTCAACTACTTACTTTTAGGTACGCAACTACCTACAATCATCAAGTATGAAGAGCTCATACTCCTCCGAATTAGGTAATGACCGGTTAACCTTACAATCATCACTATTCAACTACCCACTTTTAGTTATGCAACATAGAATTATGAATGCATCAAAATCTACAGTTTATGAAGGAAATGCAAGTATTCCTCATATAATAAATTCCCGTCGTCTTTTTTTATTTTTATACATTTCTAACTTGATTCTTTATTGGGTCAGCACATTACAGAACTCTTACAGAATTCTCACAAAAGAGTGAGATCGAAATTTTTTTTCTTCATTTTTTATTACATTGGAACTCATGTGGGACCGACCCCCTGTGAAACGTCGATAAGCCCTCTGTAAGCAAAGCTATGTACACAGAGCTTTGCTGTTCTTTATAAGGTTGTATAGGGGCGCAGTTGGCGGGGAGCGGGGGGAGTAGGGGAATTTTTTTTGCCCTGAGCTAATATAAAGAAAAGAAAAATCCATATAAAAAGTCACATTTATCATCATTTCGACATTATATCAAAAAGTAACCTACAAGGCTAAAACCAGTCGACCGAACTCTACAGCCCAATATTTAAGTGCCACGTGTAGAACACTTTAGAAAGCCCACCACACCTGCCAGTCACTGACTTGGTAATACCTTACGTGGCAGCTTTCTACTGGCCGGTGTAGATAAAGTTGCATTAGAAGGGCTAAGCAAGCAAAGAGTTAGAGAGAGAAGACGAAGCCCAGGCCTTTTATATGCACATCTGTAGCGTTGCTGCCATTTTCAAGAGTGAAGAAAGAGCACTTAAAAATCGGAACTTTTTTTTGTGTGGATTAGCATTTTTCATCTCATTTTCTTTGATTTCCCCCTTTTTCTTAACACCCTTTTCTTGGATCCCATTTTGTAATTATCTCTCTTTCAAATTTTGATCAATTTTTTCAGGGTTCGTTCTTGTTGAAAAAAATCACATCACAAACGAAGAAACTAATTTTAGAAAGACCGGCGTGTTCTTGAAAGCCAGGTGGTTCAGAATAGAGATCAGGATAAGCTTAATTTCTCTGTTCTTTTGTTATTACAGTAAAAAGGTATTTGTTTGATCAAAATAGCTAAAAGGGTTTTCTTTTCTATCCCTTTTGGGTTGATTTAGGTTTCTTGAATTAATTTATATTAATAGATTCAAAGGTGTCAAAAGGGGTGTTTATTTGAAGCCTCTTTGATTCTTTGATTGTGCAGGAAGCTTGTTGTTTTTCCGATCTGTTTCATTTTTCTTGTATAAATTTGAGAAAATATCATGGCAGCGGCTACAGATACATTCAATTCTAGTGGCAGTCATATTTTCTCATCAGATCTGTTAAATGAGGAGTTTATTCAAGTACTTGATCCTTTTATGAAAGGTGCTTCACCAAATCCCTCAAGTTCTTCTAATTTTTACCCTTTTGGATCTTCTAGTTCTTCAATCTGTTCTGAATCGAATTTGAATCCTGATTTTGGCCAAATCCCGTTGAAACCCCAGATGTTTTCTCCAGTTTTTTCGAGTTTTAACCAAATGGATGATCTTAATCACCTCACACCATCACAGTTTATGCAATTCCAGGCTCAATTCCAATTCAAACAGCAGCAATTGATGCCTCAGGGCAACTCGTTTACGCGGTTTCTTAGCCCAAAACCTGTCCCAATGAAGAAAGCTGTGATTCCCGTGAAGGCTGCGAAGCTTTACCGGGGAGTAAGACAGAGGCACTGGGGCAAATGGGTAGCTGAAATTAGACTTCCAAGGAATAGAACCAGGCTTTGGCTTGGAACTTTTGACACGTCTGAACAGGCGGCCTTGGCTTATGATAAGGCTGCATATAAACTGAGAGGAGAGTTTGCAAGACTCAATTTTCCTAATCTTAGGCATCAATTATGCGGGTTCAAGTCGCTGCAGTCCTCCATTGATGCAAAACTACAAGCCATATGTGAAAATTTGGCTAATTCACCGAAACAGGGGAAGAGTTCAGGGAAGGCCCGTTCTGTTTCGAATCGAAAGAGTAAAGTTTTAAACCAAACAGGCGACGAGAAGACCAAAAATGTTATGAACGATTCATTGAATGGAGGATTTGGTGTTGACCGTATCCAGGTCGACGCCTCCTCATCATTGTCGTCCCCATTGGATGAAGGGTCGGCATCACCTGAATCCGATATCACCTTTCTGGATTTCTTGGAGCCATCATTCGATAACTTTGTGTTGCAGAAGCACCCTTCAGTGGAGATAGACTGGGCAGCTTTATAACATAGTACTTATGTTTTCGTTATTTTCTTTAGTTTGCTTGGTTTTTATGTGAAATTTGGTTTTAGTTTGGTGTCAATTGAGGCCTTTGCAATGAAGTTTTTGACATTTGCAAAGGCCCTTAAGGTTGTGGAATGGTTTATGTTGTTATGTATAATCTAAAATCTCTTCATCTTGATCAACTGGTGCTTTTTATTTCCAGCTTGATGATGGGAGATATTGTGCATTTCTTGAATGTAATTACAGTCTATGAATGTATTTCAGTTTCTCTGTGTATAATAAAACATGGTGTGTTTTGTACTAGCTCCGAATTTTTAGTGTTCTTGTTGCAGCAAATCTCAGTGTTATCTATTTACGAAAATTCTGCACGTCAGGTTTTTCATGAAAAAATGAATCTGGTCTTCGCCCAAGTATGGAGATGCAGTTCAATGAATTTGGTAAAATGATAAATCCAAGCTCTGAAATTAGAACTATGAATCCTTGAGTTTGATCGAATCTGAATAATATACAATGATAGCATGTTATCTGGCGAGTAGAATTTATCGTTCTCCTCTATGCTGTTTTGTGATTATAATAATTTGTTGTGTTCTCTCCCTGGTTAGACCATCGAGTTCCAGCAAATTCAAATTAAGAGCCTTTCCTTATATCAGTTGATGAGTTAAAGAAATTGGCGCTTTTTGCATCATCATATAAACTTGTATTTAACGGTTGAAAAGAAAATATACCATGGAAACTATTTGATTTAAGGCCAGTAGATCTTATATATATCTATATGAATATACCGAACAAAAAACTTATTTATACGAAATGGAACTTCGAACTTGGAAGTTGGAATGAGCACGAAGAAATTAATGACATTTTTTTTATTGAGTAGTACTGTTGGATAAGCCGTTTAAGATCTTTGGTCCCTGATTAGACCCAATGAAAAATGGGATCACTTATTATGAATTCACTCAAAATGATTCAAATATAGTTCATGACCTATTAAAAGAAGAAGGTGCTTGGATAAACGAACTGAAAAAATTATAGACAGTAAAATAATGATAGAGCCCATTGCTTCTTAGGCCCTAATGCGAATTGAAAATATACCATAGAAAGTTGGAAGCTCTAGTTAAACACGAGATAACCAATTTGATTTAAGTAATGCTGCAACTCAAAGTCCAATACCATAACCAAGTTCGCATCTCTAGTTCGGTCCACAAGTTCGAACAAACATGGCTACCAAGCATAGGCTATCCGAAGTCAGCAACATACCTTGACTATTATTAATAAAGGTTGAACTAGAGATTTCAATGCTCGAAGGATCACAATAACCCATACAACAAGACACCCAAGGTCAAATTAGAGAATTCAGTCAACTATAGATGGTTGTTTGTGCATTCTACAAATATATTCTTTAAATAAGTATGATTACATGAGAACCCAAAGACACTACTCAAGAGGTGTAACGTTTCAAGTTTCCCAAGAGCCAAGAAAATGCCAAAACTGCCAAATGGGACATTTGCCCCTGAAGAAAAGATTAAAACTATTGTTTTGAAATGATATCATAAATGCTTTCTGCTATTTTGTTTCATTTGGATTGTCAATGTTTCTCTGATGTCAAGCAAATGTATCAGGTCATAATTTGATCGATGTGGCTCTAGGTTTATTATTTAATTTATTGAAATGGTTCAAATGACTCCATTCAAGTAATACAAAAGGGATTATTGTGTTCCCTATAAATCATAAACAAGCAAATTTATTTCTCTATTAATAAATTTAAATTCAAAGTGAATTAGAGTGCGGGTAAACAGCCTATATATGAGTCTTATAACTACTCATTTATGAAAGATCTAGGTGAGACCTTTAGTGAAAAAAGTCAGTATGCACATAAGGAGTGAGTTAATCATAAAATATAAACAAATTCTCTACAATTGCATTATTATCACCCGCTAATTTGTTCAATTTCGTAAGGGACATATTTGTTGTAAGTATTGTGATGGCAAATCAAATAAGCAAAAGTGAACGACAATAAGGTAAGAGTTACTTTAGAACGATGTAACTTTTTTTTTACATAAAAATAAGAAGAATAATTCCATAGGTATAAGGAATTATTGATTGAAATGTTACAGGTGCTGCATTGACAACATCTGTATGGTACATTTTTCTGTGTTTGTTGTGTCAAAAATCAAACAGTAAATTAATGATAGAGTACATTGCTTATTAAGCCCTAATGCAAACTGAAAATATACCATAGAAAGTTGGAAGCCCTAGTTAAACGCCAGATAAACAATTTGATTTATGTAATGCTACAACTCAAAGTCCAACACCATAACCAAGTTTGCATCTCTAGTTCTGTCCACAAACTCGAACAAACATGGCTACAAAGCATAGGCTATCCCAAGTCAGCAACATACCTCGACTATTATTAATAAAGGTTGAACTAGAGATTTCAATGCTCGAAGAATCACAATAACCCATACAACAAGACACACAAGGTCGAATTAGAGAGTTTGCTCAACTATATATGGTTGTTTGTGCATTTTACAAATATATTCTCTAAATAAGTATGATTACATGAGAACACAAACACACTACACAAGAGGTGTAACTTTTCAAGTTTCCCAAGAGCCAAGAAAATGCCTATTTGCCCCTAAAGAAAATATTAAAACTATTGTTTTGAAATGATATCATAAATTTTTTCTGCTAATTTTTTTTTTTTTTTTCATTTGGATTGTCAATCTTTCTCTGATATCAATCAAATGTATCGGGTCATAATTTGATTAATGTGGCTCGAGGTTTACTATTTAATTTATCAAAATGGTTCAAATGACTTCATTCAAGTAATACAAAAGGGATTATTCTGTTCCCTATAAATTATAAACAAGAAAAAATTATCTCTATTTATAAATTTAAATTCAAAGTGAATTAGAGCGCAAGTAAACATTCTATATTTGAGTCTTATAACCACTCATTTATGAAAGATCTAGGTGAAACCTTTGTGAAAAAAGTGAGTATGTACATAAGGAGTGAGTTGAACATAAAATATAAACAAATTCTTTACAATTGCATTATTGTCCCCCGCTATTTTGTTCAATTTCATAAGGGACATATTATTTGTAAGTATTATGAATAATCTGAGGGCACACACGGCTAATTAAATATGAAAATGAGAATGACAATAAGGTAAGAGTTACTTTAGAACGACGTAACTTTTCTTTACATAAAAATAAGAAGAATAATTCCATAGCTATAAGGAATTATTGACTGAAATGATACAGGTGCTGCATTGACAACATTTGTATGGTACATTTTCTATGTTTGTTGTGTCAAAAATCAATGAAAAATTGCCAAGTGTTTTTCTATAAAAATTTTATTAAACTTTTTTTGTACTTGTACCAAAATTGAAACAAGAAATTAAAAGTATTTTTATGGATGTAACTTTACTTTCTTTCTCCTTTTTTTTAGGGTTATCTCTTGAATGTTGGAATATCGAGGCTAGTATCCCGCCCCAAAATTCTAACTAATTCAATATTCTTAATCTTTCTTCTCAGCAAGCAAAGACAATTCACATGACTGCCAAAATATGAGAGAGAGAGTAGGTGAAAAAGTCTTTTGGGCCACGACGAATACTTCAAGTTTGAGCAAGACTTTACCTTCTCTATGCCACTTATTAGATTCTGTATAATGTACAAAAACAATATTTTCCTTTTACCTTGAGTAGTGGACCTTCTTTGTATAGCAAGAAAAGTGTACAATTTGAGGCTAAATGGGTGTGAATGAAATCATGAACGAAAATTAAGCATCTTAATGGCTTGTTTTCTAATATACACTATACGATACAAGACAGTGTTAGAAAAAATAGAAGAAATTAAACTCTGGTTCGTTACTCACTCAAGTAATGTTCATGCATAAACATACACAAGACTTATGTTGGGCAATTTCACTTATTGAAAAAAATTTATCAATCAAAGCAATTAATTATGGTGATTAAATATGCAAGTAGATTATCAAAGCAAAACAAGAGAACACACACAACACCAAATTTTGTGTAAAAAAACCCTCCAGTATAAAGGGAAAAACCCACAGGGCAACTATGGCCAAATCCACTATATTAAATATAAATTACAATATTCAAGTTTATGCTCCAAAACTTGAATTCTCAACAAATTGAGAATACCACCTTATCAATCTCTAAGACACCAAATAATCTCACCACAAATCAACAATTTGATGAAACTTGTGAAATACTTATTTTGAATACTACACCTCTAGAGTGCCCAAAATACACCTTAGAGGAATTTCCAATTTGTTCTTAAATAGAAAATCAACCTGTGTAAAATCCACATCTCAAGAAAGAAAGAAAACCAACACTTGCTTCTTCTCTAACCAAAGTCAAAACCAAAGTATTTTCCCTCTTAAAATTGAAATTGAGCAACCCTTGTTTTCTGTGTTCTTTTTCTAGCAATTTGAAAACCTCAGTTTCTGTATTTTTCTCCACGTGATAGCCACGGTTTGATGATCATATATATACCAATGTGTGACCTAAATGATATGTGTGTGTGTGTGTGTGTTGGATTGGCTTTTTTACCTTTAATTCCTCATGGGCTGAACAAGCCCATATAACAATCTCTCATTCGAGCCTACTGAGTAAAGAGATTATCATCTAACACATTAGTTAGAATCTATACTAACCAGTGTGGCACAAAACTTAAGCTTTTCTCTAATCACAACCTTTGTCATCATGTCAATTGGATTTTTCTCTGTATGAATCTTTTCCAACAATATCAATTGTTTTGCCACTACTTGTCATAGCCAATGATATCTCACATCAATATCCTTCGTTCGAAAATGATAAGTAGCATTCTTGCTCAAGTCTAATGCACTCTAACTGTCACAATTAACTACATACACATCTTGCTTCAAACTCAAATCTTGGAGAAATTGTTTCATCCAAAACATTTCTTTCCTACTTCAATTACTGTAATATACTCAGTCGTAGTTATAAATAAGGCAACACACTTTTGTAATTTTGACTGCCATGAGACAGCTTCCCCTGCAAAAGTGATCAAATATCCTGAAGTTGATTTTCTACTATCAAGATCACTAGCCATATCTGCATCTATAAAACCCTCCAAAATTGGTTTTGAACCTTCAAAAGATAAGCACATCTTAAAGTACCTCTCAAGTATCTAAAGATCTATTTCACTAGCTCGATCTTTACCGGAATTAACAAGATAAAGTTGACTACCCCGACTACATGAGCAATGTCTGGCCGTTACAAACCATGGCATACATCAAACTCCCAACCGCAAAGGAGTAAG